AAACCAGATCATTATGATAAAAATGAAACTAAATAATACAACTGAAAAAAACCTAATATTCTATATTGGAAATCAGATGCTCCATTTTGGCATTACTTCACTGCTTTAGTGCAAGAAAAGGGCAATTTTTGTAAACAACCACTGATAAAAGTGGCTTGTTACTTAAACAGTATTCAAAGTAAGACACAATGAAGATGCCACAATGATGGAGTTCTCAATTATAGTACAATAAATTTAGCTGCTATCATTCAGCTATAGAATTCTTTACATTCTGATAAGATCAAAATAATTGATTGGTGTGCTTCTACTAAGAAACTGAACAGCATGAGAAAGTACAGATCTGAATGTTAATAGTATGCAGACAAGTGGTATTTACATAAAGATCCCTTTTCACTGGCTATTTACCTTTGAAAGGATAGTGTGTGATAGTTTGATCTGGCTTCACAAACACAAGTAAAGCATCTCATGATGAATACAATTTTGTACTCCAGAGAATATTTAGAGGACAGATTTTATTAACATAAATTTCAAAATGCTAAGTATCACACACAACTTAGTCAAAATGTTTACTGAATTCCACTTACTTTTCAAGCTGGGATGGAGCTGAAAGGAAAATATGAAGCTGATACTTGAGCTATATAAACTAAAGACTCGCAGTCTTTTTTATCAGTGAACTATTTGAGTTGTGACTGCTAGGACATGCAGGTGTTGCTAAGATGTGAAGTAGAGGTAGAGAATTTTAGCAAACTACAACTTGGAGGTGTGTAAACCTGACATTTGTTTTGGACCCTACTCTCAAAAACAATTTGCAAGAGGATAAATAAAACAATTCCATGTAATAACAGAAATCTATCATCTTATTAGCAGAGGTTAAACTTTATATTTGTAAAGCCCACCTAAAGAGTTAAGATTTGTCCAAAATATGCTGTACTGCATATTCATAAAACATTACACTTCTCAAACTATAAAAAAATGGATATATTTGTATCTGAGATATAAAAAAATTGAACTTAAAACTTTATGAAGGCCTACCACAAAGTACACATATTTACCTAATTTTAGCAAATGACCATATCAACACTGAATTCTGTGCAATTTTGGTGCTGCAAAAGCAGCCTGATATAGAGGTATGGATGACAGAGCATCTGTCAGACAATACCTGTGATCTTTGGATCAGTTGTTTCTGTATCAAAGGCACAACATAGGCTAAGGAAGATTACTATGGTTTGTGAGAAGACCAATATATTGTAGGACTACCTTAGATCTCATATTTACCAAAAATGTCAGCTAATACTAACGAAATTATTATTTTTATCCTGAAGAGCTTAATTTAAACTAAAACTCAGGAGTTTCCTTAAATACAGATTCATTTACTTTTTGGGTTAATACGACCTTTGTAGTGGTATTTTTTCTGTAGTTCTTTTGAAACTGGTATAAACACAGTCCTAACGTGCTATATGTAACTTATTGACTCAWGTCACATATTGGGTGTATTTTAATAAAATTTATGTTTTGATACATATTTCTTCATGATGTGTCTCTGCACATGGCAGGAGGGTTGTCCATTCCAACCCTTTAGCATTCCATTATTCTGTGATTCTATAGTAAGTTTTTGTCAATGCAAGAAAAAGTCATCAAATGACTATAAACTGTTACAGTATTACATGGTATTATTTCTTGTATGCAAAGAAACAAATCACAGATCCTCCACTTTGTGCAGCCAAAGGTAGCACAACAGGTAACAAAACCCTGCTCTACAAATAGCTTCCAAAAGCAGATGAAAGATGAAGAAACTCAAAGAAAAGGACTTCAAGAATAAAGCAGAATCTAGGACAGGTTAAATCCTGTGTTGTAAATGAGACCAGTGGTTAACAAGACAAGCTTAGGATGATGATACAAATCTTGTTTAGGCACTGGATAGCAGCTCAGTGCTTGCAAGGTATGGAGTATAGGCTGCAAGAGAAGCTCCAAAATCATAAAGTAGTCACTAATGGCTAATTAATGGTCACTGAAAAAAACACAACCTCAAGCACTCCAGTAAGATTGCTTTTACCTTAAGATTGCTTTTACCAAGTCAGCCAGAGAAAATCAAAGGCACTGTTGTGGCCTGGGGAATTAGCACTCCCTGAGGCATTTTACATCCTCTAACCTAAGGACAGACAAGAGGATTGGAACTATCTAGAAATTAAACCATTTCATAAAAGAATAAGATCCCAAACTGTGCATGGGCAAGTAAAGAGAGATGGTAGAGAAGAAAAAAAACCCCAAACATTTCAGTTCTAGCTTCCCTTGCAGCAAACCTCTCAAATTTTAAATTTCAGTATGTCCTGACAACTAAGACCATCATTGGTAGCTATCATCACCAACACTACAGTATCAACTCCATGGGATTTTATACTGACATTCAATTTAGAACATAGATGCTAAGACTTTAGCTATGTAGAGGCAGAAATTGATCGGTATATAATTAAGAACTAATTATAATAATAATGATAAATAATGCACAAGGGTAAGAAAATAGCACAACCAGTACTGTCAATGACAGCCAGCCCAGTACAGTGGGATTGGATTATTTTTGTATTGTTTTTGTTTGTTTTGATTTTTTTGTTGTTGTTGTTGTTGATTCTTAGAGTTTTTAAAAGAAGTTTAAGAGGAACAATTAAAAAACCACAAATTAGCATATAGTACAGGGATACACAGCCATTYCTAATTTTCAACTAATTTTCAGTTAAAAAGTCATGTTACTGGAAAAAAAGAGAGTTGAGATGGAGTGTACATCATGATCTATCCACCAAGAAAAAAAGATATTTGAGAACCATGTAGCAGCATGCATACCTTAATATATGCCAAATGTTATATATGCATATGTAAATATGCTTTATATATGCTATACATATATATGTTATACATATCATATAGCATACTTTTCTTCCAAATATGCATGTCTTTGAAACCTCAAAAAGAACTTCTGGGTTGGTGATATCAATGAGTTTTATTTGAGCAATATTTGAAATAATGTTTCTACAAATCTAACATCTGATCTAGTCACTACATAARGAAATAATATGCAGCAAAAATCAGTTACTCCACAGTCACACTCTGGGTTAGAATGTTTAGGTATTTTGGCACAGAGAGGACCTGGTTATGAATTTTTTAGCAGATCAGATGTAAGCATTTTGTAACTGATTTACAGATTCCTAATGAGGACACAGCCTTTCAATGAACTACATACAGCTAGGAAAAAAAAGCGGGAAAAGGAAAAAAAGACGGGTTTTTGATTGCCTATGTAATTCCAAAAAATCAGAGTAACATTTACAATTTTGGTAAGACTGTCAAAATAACAATAATAATAATCATCATTAAAAAAACCCAACAACCCTACTTCTCATATATCTGTTGTTATCCTCCCTGACAAACAAATCTAACACACATGCTTTCCACACCTACAATTTGGGTTTTCCAGTAGACTTAAGAATATGTTGCAAATAGGCACAAGAACCTTACAACTCATCAGTGGCCAATTTAGTGAATAACAGACTCAAAACATTTATAGCTTGAGGTGATCCTAACTTGAACTTTTACTATTTGCTATTTAGATCACTCATTCCAAACTGAATTTTCAGTGACTTACAAGACAGGAAACATCTTTCTGTGGACTTGCACAATACCAAAAACCCAGTCTACTTAAAGACAAGTAGAGGACAAGTACTTAGCTCCCTGCCATATTAGCTGAAGTGGTAGAGCTCAATACCAGAGGGATACAAACACATCTGGGTGTATGACACATAAGTCTCCAAAACTGGCACCTGAATTCTGGGAAGCCTGAACATGATGTTAGGAAGAACAGGACTTAAGAGCAGTTTTAACTTTCACTGCAAGACTATCAATTATCCATCCAAAATGCTATCAGTCACACATACAACACGTCTGARAGAAATACCTTTTGAAACACTTCCAACCATACATAACTACAGATACCACTTTACCCTTTCCTAGTCTTCTGCAGCCTCCTCTGTCTTCTGTGAGCTTTGAAAAGATTGTCACTGGTGGTTTTCTGACTGGGTCTTGAATTGTACTTCTAAAGATTTAGAAATGATGTGTTCAGAGAGCAGCTGCCTGATTTCCCACCTTAGGAGAAAGCTTTAGACTCGCACCTCAAAACGTGGATAGTCTTATAAAAATAAATCAAAGACTTTTGGTCTGAAGCATCTCTGAAACTAAACACACCTACTCTGGCTATTAGTAAAAACTGTCAGAGACAGATAATCATTCATGCCAAAGGTGCCAACCAGGGCTTAGTTAGGGAACTGTTTAACAAGATCTGCTCAGACAAAAAAAAAAGAGTAGCTCATGGCAATTTACATGGTAAGTCACGCATCATTCCAAAGGACTACAGAAGCTCAGTCCAGGATAAAATACAGGAGTATGGAGAATCACCAGACAGCTCTTTTAGTGACAGAGAACTCACAGCATCTGCCATCTCTTTTGGTACAAAAGACAACATAGCAAAAAAAAAATTTAAAAATGCATGGCTGAGGGAGTTTTTGAGGTGTTTCAGTAGACATGTTGAACTAACAATTGACATACTCAAAGAAAAATACAAAGTAATTCAGGAAGGACTTATCCTCATAAAAGAACAAAAATGAGCATGTAACCTTAGCCAAAGAAAATGGTTTTGTGATTTGGAAAATGTCTTTTCTTAAGTAACATTAAGGGGTTCTTAGTACAAGTCAACTTACACTTGGTCACACAAGGTTCAATATATTCCAATAGAAAAATAAAAAGCAGCAATATGAATTATTTTGTAACTCAAAAACCCAGAAAACTAGGAAAGATCATTAAAACCCCAAAATTTAWAAACCTCCTTGTTGAAAACTTTAATCAGTGAAAAATCATTCATCTTTTTTTATTTTTTTCTCATAGCACATTCAGATAATGAAAAAATAGCAGCTTTATTTCCAGTAAAATGCCTGGTAAAATGTGTTTTCTACATCACTTACCTGTTTTCATTTCTAACAAGCGTTTTTTCTTTTGTTGCCTCTCTAGTTTTTCTTTTTCTGCCTTCTCTTTAGCTATTTTAGCACGTCTCTGCTTTTCTTCTGCTTCCCTTCTTCTCATATTTTCTTTTACTGCTTGCTATGAAAAAAATAATATAGAGTTCCATTAAAATGGAAGTCTTAGCAAAAACAAAGCTGAAGCTTAAAAACAAAGGAAAAAAGCTTTCAAACCATACCCCGTAACTAACCTTAATTTATTGAATCAAATAAGTATTTTGCATTCCATATTTAGTACACTTTATTTAGAAAAGCAAGCAAATTCAGAATAAATACATTAAAAGCACACTAGTTGTCCCCAAATGAGGTTTATAAATTCAGCAAGAAATATTCTTGTATTCAGCAAGAATACACATTTATGTAGGAAGAATTCAAACGTCTAAACCATCTTGCTCTACAAAATTGTATGTTACCATTTGTAGTTTTAAAATAATTTCAACACTTTTTCTTTCACATGCTGCCACTACACCAAGCAGAACAAGACTGCCTGGGTAACAGTGTTATATTTTTCTTATTTTTATCAACATATGCATTAATTCACTGGGTTTATAAACTCCTCTCTTCTGGTTAATATCTGTATGATATTGTTTATTTTGAAATATAAATGTGTAGTCTGAAACTTCTAATGAAGCTAAAACAGAACAATGAGTTTTGAAATCAAAATTCTGCATATTCACACATTAAGCAAAAGAACTATATTACATTCAATATATTTTTAACAAAAGTATTTCAGGATTACCTTTTCATTATTTTAGTGTTAGCTGTGTCCACCGGTCAATTCTCAGTGCTCTGAGAATTTACATTTGCATTAAATGTAAAGTGCACCTATTCTTCATTGCAAAAAGTTTATTTTTTCAGAACACAATTAAACAGAACCCTGTCTTTCATAACATATCAATGTCCCCTCTTCCAAAATGGCTTGGCTTGTCTGAGGCAAAAGCTTCAATTTTGCAGGAATAATTAATGTCTCATTTGTTTTTAGAGGGAAAATATCCACACTGCACTCAGAAAAAAAAATCTACTAAAAAGTATTATATAGCACACATGAATGTGGATTACAGCAATACTTGCACAGGCACTGTTTGTAGTATCACTGTCACAGAGAGTGACAAAAAGAAGGGGAAAGAAAAATATCCCATAAAGGTATATTATATACCCATACTTGCTTTGGGTAACTGAAGAAGAATAAGCTTTCCATCATGAGAAAAAGGACAATGAAATGGATTTTTTATACAAACCAAAACTGTACTTTTACAGTGATTCCTCCAAAGTCACCTTTGTCGAATTTCTTGATACAAGGAAAGGAGGGGAGACACCTCCTACAAAATGCTAAAATTTTTGATTTAGTTTATTTAAACAAATTATTTATTGATTTTAAGACTGGGCATTCTGTAGAATAAACTACTGGATAAACTRCTGGAAAAATTCAAATGGGATTTTGTACTTGACAAGTACAATTCTGGCACAAATAACACATTTTCTTGACAGAGTGACCAAGGAAATTTCTACTTTGCATCTACTTTTCCCCAAAAAGTATTATATGTAGGACTCAGCCTCAGACTGCAGYCATTCAAATGTAGATGTTTATTCTTTCCAATCACACTGAACAAGTGGGCCTAAGTTAATAGCTCAGTTGCTCACACCCTCATATTCAGTGCAAAAGGCCCCCAGCCTTTCTCTAACAGGGCAGTGATTTTCCACAAATTCTTCCACAGATTAAAATTTCAGGCTGATGTTGTCYTGGGTACTATTTAAGACACTTCTCAAGAATACTCTTGTATTGCTTCTCTAGTTATGTCTCCTTTGAGACATCTCTCAAAATTCCATTAAATGTATTAAGYATGCATCTCCCTTGACTGAAACACAAGTTTAGATACTCAAATTCACATACAAATATGCCCTAAGGCCAAATTCTATCCTACATGTTCTGTGTGTTTTCAACACAAAACATAAGTGGAATGCCAAGACCTATATTTTCCAAGCTGAAGGCATTCTTGGGCTCTCTCTTGTGATTTCCAGTGTTGTTTCTGATTTTCACTTTATTATTTGCATCATATAAAGGAAAGACAGAGTCTAGGGAACACTCTTACTTGGTTGCTTTTCTTCTAGTTCTTGAAGTTATGTCTCTGCTGCAGAGCAACCTAGTGCAGATAGGAGCAAAGGTTCCCATATCCTATGATTTGCCTACTCTCTTGGACAGAAGAGCTGTTGCTTCAAGTTGTCTTTGCTCCCTTTCCTACAACTGGAGGAAACTTCTAACCATTAGACAATTTCTTCACCTTGAAAGCTATGTTTCCTGAGAAAGGAATGACCTTGTTAGCAGTACCTGAGATGCTGTGAAAGTACGGAGGGAAGTTAACAGAGATGGTTGATCCCTAAGATGTTCCACTGTCTGTACCAGGAACCTAGCTTAGGAAGTTAAAGCACTGACTGCAAGAAGATTTACCCCTTTTTTTAGATCTGGCCAAGTAACTGTACTCTAGGTTTGGTGCTCACAGGGTGTGAATAATAGTCACAGCTACCAAATAACACTGATATACAAAGTGCAGTTCAAAGGTAGCTATGAAACTGAGGTCTAAGGCTCCAGATTTGAACACAGGATTTTTTTAAACTATTTAAACATTTTCATTAATTAAGAATTTTAAGTAATAATTATAAGTAGGAAAATACTTGATGTAAATCATCAACTTTGCATGATAACAAGTTGACGGAACTTCGATCTCCCATACCTGCTGGTGACTAGTGGTAATTTAGTTTGGTCTTGTTAATAATCCAATGATTTTTCAGCACTAAATTTACAAGTCTTCTGAACTAAATTTTCTAGGATAACAATCACCTTCAGTTTCTGCAAATAATCAAGACCACTACTAAACAATCCTGAAAAGCAGCTCAGTTGCCTCTTGCTAGGCATCTCAAAAATCACTTCTGAGAAGTCTCAAAGCTGAGCAGCTACTCAAGATTTTGGTTACTGTCATTGAATGATAGGGGATTTCATGCGTTATCTACACATCTTTTTCCTATAGCCTTCAAACTATGCTCTGCAAGACAGAATTATTAATTTTCCTCAAGGTTTCTTGTATCATGCTCATCAGTAATACCTAACTGTTTTGAAGCATTAATTAATATATCTTTATGACACTGCTGTGAAGTAAAGGCTAGCATCAGTACTAATTTTACAGTCACAGAAGAAATATGGGAAAATTAATGCACAGCACAACCACTTCCTTAGAGCCTCCAACTCAACATGAACCTAAGCATTTCAAATTCTACAACGTTTACATGAGAGGTATGGTTTAAACATCAGAAATTAAAGTAATATAACTATTTTGTAGTAATTATTAATTCTGAAATCAGACTACTGAATTTCATATTAGGCACTGATCAAGTTAGGAAAACACAGTCAATGCCCCTATTGAAAAATCTGGCATTTATAACTTGCCAAGCGAAATTATTCTGAATAATTTTTAGGATTTTAGTTGTTAAACTCTGAAGTAGCAGAGGCTTAGTAATCTTTACATGTTCCAAATGTTTGCTAAATATGGGTTCCAGTTTAAGTCCTTTCCTCAAAACTGAYGGACATATAAATTTCAAACTTTTCTCAGTATCGGTGAAAAAAGCAATTTTCTCTACCTATATCTTCAGACCTGTCTGAAATCGTTAAGAAACCATAACAACCAAGTAAAACACCAAACAAGACTGGTAAACTTGCAAGCAACTTAAATAAGTGTGCTGTAATGGTAAGTGTCAGGCTGCAATGAGCAGGTGGCAAAATGACTAAGTGAATCTTTCTACAAGCAAGATTACTTGGATTACTCCTCCAAACCTTGTCACAAAACTCATGCTCATACAATATTCCTGCAGGAATGTAGTCAGTAAGTTAAGCTATGTAATCATAAGTAGCCAGATGTGACACAAATCAGGTTATTATCCAAATTCATACATATAGATAAGGTTACAAAATATAACTTCTAAGAAACAGTAGGCATAAAATAAATGTATTGTACCATGAACATCATCCTGAAGTTGTTCAAGTCCGTTAAAAACTCCTCCACTGAAACTTTCTTCAGATCAATGGCATAATACCCCATCACATTCTGATAGAGCTTTTCCATGTTCTCATGCATCCGTGAAAGTTTCTGAAAATCTTCTTTGGCATGAACTATAAAGCTGTAGACTTCTGTTAAGGCTGCAAGAATACTCAGTGAGTCCAGCCAAACACACTGCTTTTACTTAACACTGTTTTGTATGTCATACACATTTTTTATTTCATCAAATAAGGACCAAAAGAATTTCTTCYATGTTGTACATGCTTCCTAGTATTTACTGTGTATACTAGGGCTATGAATAAATTCAGGGACTTTCATCAAAATATCTCAACCACTTTAAAGATGATTCAATTACTGCATAATTTCTTATGAAATGAAATTAAATGTATGTAACTAACCTAACTTCAACCACCCATGCAGTTAATTTAGTATCACTGTCTCCTTATTGAAGCTAAATGCTTATAGATTATAATTTACATGGAATTTATGTACAGATACCAATAATTAACTTGAATACTTCACCAAAAAATATGAAGGTTCCTACTGAAAATAGAGTAAAAATAGAAATATTGATAAACAGTATTAAAAGTAACAACCATGAAAGATAAAAAACTTCATCGTAACAGCAATGCATTCATTTCTATTCCTGGAGGCTGTAGAGGTATTTATGCTTTTTCTAAGGCTATTTGCAATGTCAATAAACTTAATTAAATTAGAAGGGAAAACAATAAAATTACTTACATGAAAGATAATTTATAAACAGCAACAAAATAATGTATAATGCAAATAAAATAAAAACCCTATGTTTATTCAGGATTTCTGATAATGTAGTTTGCCAAAGAAGTTCAAAGACAAAATATTCTACATAGCCATTTCCTTATGTCAGGCAACTTCAGGAAGTGTGTACTTTAACAGAATGGCAGCTAAACAAATATTTATGTTCCATTATTTTCCTGTTGTAGTAAACACTACAAAAGACAAGGAATAGCCATTTTACCTTTACTCTCCATTGCCCACCTCAATGACTGCAAAAGAGAATTTACTGTGTTTGTACACTTTGTATTACAGATTAAACATGCTATGGTCATTTTATGAAGCACTCAATTTTTAATCAAGTGCATGAAAATCTAGATCAACAGAACAGCACAGGACCTGGCAGGTTTTCTTGGTGAACTTCACACCACTGGCCTCAGTCCATCGACCCAGGCTGCTCAGATCCCTCTGCAGAGCCTTTCTGCCTCCAGCAGATCAACACCCCCACCCAACTTGGTGTCATTAGTGAACTTATTTGAGAGTGCACTCAAACCCATTGGCCAGATCATCAATAAAAATGTTGAACAAGACTGGCCCCAGGGAACTTCACTAATGACCAGTACCTATTAACAATTTAGATGGATGACTCTTTTCACTCTTCAGGTTTTTTGCAATGCACTTCTCTTTTAGTTTTGTTTAAAGGCTGAATTCCATTTCAACTTCACTATTAAGTGTCCTTCTGGTTTGTTAAGGTTGCTTTTAAAATATCAAGTAAGAAGTTCATGGTTTTCTTTTTGTGATTTAGAATCCATGCCAGAAATTCACACAATAATGATCTCAGATATGTGCAGGAAGGGAGAAATAATGCACTTTCACAACATTCTAATTAGTTAATAAGGGCTACTAGCTGATTCTGTAAGTACAGAACAGTCTTCATTATGACAGCCTTGCAAAAAAAGGACTAACTAAAGTCAAGATYTTAACCATTGAAAAAGATACATCTTGCAACACCCCCCAATCACCTAATTTCAGACTTTCTCAACATGGCTCTTTTGCTGGTACAAGCTTCTTTTCATGCTTTTAGTAACTTCACAAGATGCAGCTCATAAGTAGTTTCAGACTGCCTGTGCTGACTGAAYGGCAAGAGCTCAAAGAGAACTGAAGCTGCCAGCCCTCTTTTCTTCTGCATCAATTGGAATCTCCTTTACTTAGCTCCCAAGATGAGCATAGCACACAGAAAACCACTCTTCAGACTTGAGATTCTTAAAAATTATTATCACCCTTAAAAGGCTATTGGTGAGAAAGCAAAGAAAGTTGATGAAAGGTTTGTCTGTAAATGCTGCCCAAGGACTGTATTATAAAGRATTATTAGCAACAAGACATGACCAAACACACGCTAAGACCACCAAAAGGAATGTTACCAGTTCATAAAACACAAACAAACCAAAACAACAAAAAACAGTAAACTAGAAAAAGGAATTCCTACATCTGGTTTACTTTTGATTCTAAAATTYAGGATGCTTATTATTTGTCATTCTTAGATTAACACATCTTACAAAAAAATACAGGGTTTTTTGCAATTATGAGGCTGCTTATTTCCACAGAGTGGAAGGATAAAAGAAAATTAGATAAATTCATTTTGTTGTCATCATGTATAAATGCCAAACATTAAACATTCCAATATCTTCAGTTTTCTAGGAAGCAAAAAGAAAATAAAAGGTTGACATTATCAGTAAAATGTTGACTTCAATCTTCTAAATTGAAGACAATATCCTGAAAAAATAACCTGGGGAGTGGGGGAGGTGAGAGACAAGATTTCTGTGATCTTCTTCAAGACACAGATAAAATGACAACTATGTTAATAGTCTATATATGCTGGTTAATTCTGTTTAAAATTGACTCCCCTTGAATATCTGATGCACAATTTTAAACACAGAATACAGTACTCGGGCAAGATGTTTTGCTATCTCATATTTCAATGCCAGACACGATGAATCCCAAGATTTTTATTTTCCATCTGGTGCATTATGGGATACCCTTAAGCTCTTGACATTCTACTGAGACTGTGCTTCAATTTAGGTATTTTTAATAACTCCTCTTCCTTTTCTCCTTAAATATGGCTTTTGTTAGCCAGCTCTAGCTAAACTGGAAACAACAGGGAATACTACTGAGTACAGCAATCCCAACTGTAATTATTATGAACAGGTTGATACATACGCATTATCAACTACACAATTCACTGGTTTTGGATGAATAAAGATAGAAGTACAGCTGAGCTGCAACACAGGTGGGAAAAAAAGGAAATCAAGAACTTTGGTATATGTTAACCTTTTCTAAAGTGACTTCACTTCATGGACTGCCTATTTGGAATCCTGGACTACAGAACACTCTGCTAATTAATCTAACAGAAAAGCAATGCATGGCTGAGACAAGTAAGATCTCTGGCAAAAATTTTAACTGCTTGGTTAAAATATATATGTGTTATATAAATATATATCTTTGGTCTTGAATATTCTGGCAGCTTTTTTCATAGTAAATTGCTTGTCTGAAGTTTATACTGATTTTAATATAGTGCAGTATATAAAACACTAATATAGTGCAGCATATCAAGCCAAGCAAAAGCAGCTGTTAACTTAGGAAAGATAATGAATAAAATTCATCTCTACCGAACATTTCCTTAAAAGACTCCAATAGTCACCACTTCTGTTTTAGAAGAATCTTCAAAATTGAGCTGAGATGACAACAGTCTTCATAAAACCATGGCAAACCTTTTGAAGACTGGYGCAAAAAGATTTTGAGGTCATTTAAAACCATTTCAACTAATTATTTTCTACTAGGAGCAAGCAGTATGAATGATGCAAGGCTCTGTTAAGGATTTCCCACATTTTGGGAAAATAGTTGCAAATGTCTGAAAAACATGTCAGAGAGACTTGTTGTATATATACCCAGATTAAACAGAAAAATTCTGCATCTGAATATAATATTTCAAGAAACACATAGAAATGTTTAGATTTTTAAATTACTACCTTCTGAAGAGCATTTGTCAAATAATATCTTTTCTTTGATTCACTCCTACTTATCTCTATCTTATAATACCAAAAAAATTGGCAGGTGTTTGTATCACACAAAGCTGTTGCATCCACTGTGTATATATCATAAAATAAAGTGACACCAGTGCTAGCTATAATACATACCTCAAGTCCAGACCTGATACTAAAAGAATTATAAACTTAAATTAAATTTATGTTGGTTGCAAAAGCCCCCTCTCATTACCTGTCTACACAGTTAATATCTAGACCATCTCCCAAAGAGTGATACACTATTTTAACGTAAAAAGCTCAGGTTCGGTAATCTCTGAAGTCCTTAGGATGCAAGGACATCTTACAGATTCAGTTTATGTTGCACAAGGGGAACTTCAAACTATGAGGTCAATTAAGTAACCAACAGTTTGGAGGCAGCAAGTAGTCCCTTCTCTGCAGTTGAAATGGGCTTCTTCTACCTCATTTGATAGTGAAGGCTCTGACTCAGTTTAAGTACTGTTCCTTCCTTCTCTTTCTGCAATGTCAACAAATCAAATTAAATGGCAAAGGAACAGTGAATTGATCAAAAGAAAGKACTTTTTCCTAGCTGAAAGGCAGCAATCAACTGATTGTCTCTCAAGCATTAGTTCCATAAGCTTCTGTAAAAGAACACCATCAACACTACTTTTATCAGCAGGCTCAAACTTTATCAGCTGCTGCCTGAAAAATCACAAGATGTGGGTTGTATTATAAAGACCATGTTGACTAAATCACTTAATTAAATTTTTAATATGCAATTTAAATACTCTCTATAAACCCACTAAATTTTTATTTTGAACATACAAGTGTATTTTGTTCACTGTGCTTTTAATGGAACATTCCACTCGATGAATTTAATGCATTAGATCAATATCAATTCAATATTCTTTGCCTTTCCTAATTAAAGGAAACAGAAGAATTGTGATAACTATTTCTTTTCAGCTAGCATACACACGATGGCTCACAAATTAGCACAATCTAATATATAGGAGAAATATTCATAATTACAGACTTCGTCAATAAAAGAGTGCACCAACTGTGCATATCTCTGACTTCCTAAAGAAACAAGAATGCTAATCAGTTCATTAGGGGGCTTTGGGTTGTGATATTTAGCGACAGCATGTAATAGCCTGCTTGTCCATGAAGCTTAATTGTACTCAGGATGAAAAATTATTTTCAGCAAAGCACTATCCTTCCTTTTTCAGATTTCCTGCTGGTTTCTTTTCATGAGCTGCATGCTTTTCAAGACATCAGCACCATTTACATTTCCTTGTCATACGAATAAAAGTAAAGACAGGTCCAGGTTTCATC